CAGTGCAATTGCATTCAAATGTTTTAAAGTCAAAATTAAAATGAGAATCAGACCTGGGGATGTTGGAGGAGGAACAGAGCAGTTCCTTAATGTCACACGGACTGCAGTGTCGACTGAACACCACCTGTAAAACACAGACTATTCATTTTTCTACTACATACTTTATGAAAGAAAAGTAGCAGTACATAAAATGAGAACAAACCCCACTCACAGTAAAAGATAAATTTCTTAAATATGTTGTTTCAACAAGTATATATTTAAGTTAAATTCTACTCCAACATCTGTTTGGTCCATAGACTGTATAAAATAAAAATGATAATAATTTATATATATGATCTATGGTGCAGATGAATAAATAAGAGCATATTATGAAAAATCAATGAATAATCATTTCAGCATTATTTAAATGCATTTACTACAAATTGTATAAATAAGTGTCTACATACTGTACATAATAAGTAACATTATCAACATATTCACAAGTACAGTACACTATTTTATTTGATAAATTCTTCACATTGTATTTAATGTGTGCCACCTTTTTTTGTCACCCTGAGTTAAACTATTCACTTAACATTTGTAATATCTGACTCTTTAATGAGTAGTTAAAATATACTTGATCTATTTATATTGCTACTACTCTACTTGTGGATATGCACAAAAATAAGACCCAAGTATTTATTTAGTCCTGTCATAAGATGAGCAAAACATTTATTATTCCAACCTGGGTTATGCAAACAGTGCCATTGGGTGCATGGCAACTTGTCTATAGAGGATTAGTGATAATGGGATGTTCTGGTGTGTCATTGTCCACAAACATGCTGCATCTTGAAGAAGGCAGGTGTAGCAGACAAACACACAGCCTCCCTCTTGAGTCGACATGTGTCACCACCAGCTTCTGCACTTGAAGCTCTTAACATCACCTCGCTGGATATCACATCATACAATACACCTTCCACATAAATGAAAATTGGCTGTTTTGGTCAAGGTGAATTTAAAAAGTCATGTTATGCAGCATAGATGAGTGTGATGAGTTGTGACTGAGTGTGAGCTCCTGTCATTAACACCTGCACCTACTCCACACTGTCAGGACTATTCTGAGCCACTAGGTTTATCTTGTGGGAATGCCTGTTTAAATTGATTTAATTGCAGTGAAGTCAACAGTTCATCATGACACACTACCAGTTGAGGAACTTGTCAAAAGCTAAATATCTTGAATAACAAGCAGTAATGTGTACATCAGTGATGTATGCATCTAAATGAATGAGTGTTGTTGTAATTTAAGGTGTACTTAAACAATCTCTTGTGAGGGAAATTAATTTTCAATGCTGCTGAGACAAGCTGTCAGGAGCTGTGAGCTGATGCCAGACGCGGACACAGAGAAACATGCAAACTCTGCACAGAAAGGCCTGTTGCACCTGTGTGAGTGCTAGCCACTCAACGACCATGTCACAAATTTAATTTGTGACATTACATGGAAATTTAAAGATTTGGATGCTGGGTATAGATTCCTCAGTAGAGAATTAGGCAAATTTTTATGTTCCTTAATTCATCCATCAAACATCCATCAAAAGGAAATAACTAAAAGGAGTGCCTTAACGTGAGGCATCAGCTTCAATGTTTTTGTAAAAGCTTAACTACAATTTTACTGTATTTCTTGTCCAATACTTTATACTCAACCACGCAATTACAGTTTAACATGAGCACATTTTAGATTACAGTCTCTACAACAGGGAAGATGAATGTGTCTTCCCCAAGGACACAAAAACAGGATATCGGTGCTATTAGTCAAAGCTGCCCCGTGTGAAATATTTTTTAATGGATGTACATTCCTCTCATTTTTAAATGTTCGTTCGTTAAATGTTATATTTAATAGTAGAAGTTCAAACCCTCTCACCTTTTGCACTTTTCCATCCACATCCAGGTAAATGGTCTTAGGGGCATAGGAGGAGGAGCTGGAGCCCATGTTGACCTCCCTCCCCTTTCTTACACTGGTACGGACTTGGCGATGGTGTGCAGCGCTGAACATCCAACAAAACCAAGAGTTTCTTTTTGTCCTATCATATTTTATAAAATATTTGATTTGTACCTAGTCAGATTTAACTGTACCAAATACAATTTGAAAACAATTTAAAAATGAGCAATGTATCTTTTTTATTAAATGTGATATTCACAAACATACAACATCCTAACTTATATAACTTGAGCATAACTTACTGTCAGTGAAGTTTCTTCTGTTGACAGTGCAGGTAGCGTCTCTGCTGCTGAGGATACAGCCAATCCTGAACCTATGGGCGAGAGTCACTGAGACAGAGAAGGAGAGAGGAGAGAAAGGAGAGGTAGCTTGTGAGTGATGGAGGAGGAGATAGAGGCTTTGTATGACACAGCCGCTGCACTATGGAGTACTATCAGGATGACTGCCACTCCACAGGTTGCCAAGGGACAGTTTCTATGGAGAATTAAAAAGGCAAGCCTATTTTAAGAGGGGCATTGCTTTTACTTGTAGGCACAGACCAATTACCTATAGTCTATTTTAGTCAGTTAAAGGAGATTAATTTATCATCATTTATAGTGGTACCTGATTGACATCTTGATTTTCTGTTGGTAAAAGTGTATCTAATCTTGGAACTACAAATAAAAAAAAAAACTGATTAGGACACTCAAAATGCAGCTAATAATAATCTGTGGACAATGTCCACTTCAATTAAAGAGCGGTCCTTGTGCTAAATGTGACTGTAGTTCTTTTAGTAATGAAAATGATTAGTGCTTATTAAACGTGTGTACATTGCATGTGTTCATGTCATGTTCATTCATGTTCACTGTTGTCCGGAGCAGACCAGATGGTTTGGTCAGATGAGTTCACCAGAAGAACTCTCCAGGACCATTTTGAGTGTATTTTTGTCAGCAGTACTTAAAACACAGGCAATCATGAAATAAACATATGCCATGACGTATGTACATGGTGGCTTGCAGCGGCTGCTTGGCCTCTCTATGGGTTGACTCTTTATGTCCAGGTATATTTTTGTAATTACCATGACAGATAAGATAAGATAAGATATGCCTTTATTAGTCCCACAGTGGGGAAATTCCAGTGTTGCAACGCGCAATTTCAGAACAGCAGGAAAAGGTAACACAGATAATAAATAATAGCTTAAAAATTATTTAAAAATAGACTTCAAATAATTGCACATGGATATAATTGACTGGCACATGTTCAGTGTTAACAGTGTTTGTTGTAAAGTCTGACAGCAGCAGGAAGGAAAGACCTGCGAAACCTCTCCTTCACACAGCGAGGGTGAATCAGTCTGTCACTGAAGCTGCTCTCCAGAGTAGACAGAGCGTCCTGCAGGGGGTGAGACTCATACACAGATGAGATGTACACAGGCTCTCATATTTAAAAAAAAAAAAAAAAAAGTGACTGAAAAATAGATAGCTAAAATAAGAAGAGGTGACCTATATCTTAACTCTCCTTAAAATAAAAGTGACTTGTAAGGAGCTTTCCAATAAACACAGCCTATTGGGATTATGACCTCAGTGTGAACAGGATATGAGTAAGAAGGCTTAAAAAGCATGATCAGATCATTAATTAAAGACAGGGAGCATCATACAAGCATCATCGGTGGACTCTCACTTTGCACCTATTTCCTACAGACAGCAGACGCACACATCCCCTGAGCTTAATTACTGCCAAGTACAATGCTTCTCTCTGCAAAGTTGTCATTATTTTTCTGTACACATGGGACACTAAACACAATCAAATCAGTACAACGTTTACAAATGACTGGATTGCAATTTGCCAACACCCATGTAGAATAACATGTCCTGGGAGCGTAAGTGTATTCCTTCAAATATATCTGTATGTGAATGCAGACCTAATTCAAAAAGAATAAAGACAGTGGATCAAAACTGGCTGCTTTGATTGGTAGCTGCTTGTCTCACATCTCAGCAGAAGGTGCATTGGTAGATTAAAGCAAAAATGAAACAGTGCATATTTTAATGACAAAGGCGTCCATCTGCACACCTGAAAGGACCCCATTATCCTGGTAATGATGTGGAACAGACTACTGCCTCTGTGCATCAGAGACTGCAGCCTGCAAATCTCCCCAACAGAATAGAAAAGCCTTTCATCTCTTTTTAATCAATCAAATGTGTGGTATAAATCATAAACTGTGAGTATAAATAAATATTATATCATCATCTGAGATCAAAGGAAAAAGGTTCAATGAATCCTGATAGATTATAGTGTGTTTGAATGCATAGCATTGATGAATATAATACTGACTAAAATCACTAACTAAAATGTGAAGTTTGGTTCCCTCTAGTGGGGAGATTTTTCAATCGCAATCAACCAAAGAAATGCTAAAGAGCTCGACCTGTATTTTCACGGTAATTATTAAATATTTTGAGTGAAACAATATAATCACTACTGCCTGCTGTACAGGATTACAATGCAGTTGTCTTTTTATACTGTTGGTTCCAGGAGGCACAACCGCCCTGGGTTCATGCAAATTATTCATGCAAAGAGCTACATTATATGCATTTTGTAACACTTAGATTTTCATCAGTAGCATTCACATGTGTAGAGGCAAACAAACAGCAGATTTTAGTGACTTGCGAAAAGACAAGCTGCAGGCAGGATGTTGCAGAAGCGAAAAAAATGGTCATATATCAATTAGTAAGAAAGATATCGACACCTAGTGGGCAGAATTAAGAGATGCACGAATAATGTTGTACATCTGATGTTATTACTATAATTGACATATTATTATTATCATGTTTGTAATATTAACCTAAAAGATCAAAACTTGCATAAATAAATGGCAAAAGAAATACATAAATAAAAAAATAACCATTCAGCTGGTGAACAGTGTAATGTTATTTATTCAAACACTACAAATATATAGTGCATAGATAATAGAAAATATACAATATTACTTGTGGACATATTTCTAAATTGTGCATAATGTCTAATAAACTATACATACATCTTTTGTGTACAGTCATTGCTGTTGAACAGTGTGTGAAGACTCATGCCCAGAACCCTCGGGCTCCACTGGCAGGGAGCTAGTGGGGATGCTCACTGGAGGCCGACCTTTTCTGATGGGACTGAAGACGCGCTGGGGTGAGCCAGGTGAATGAGGACTGGACAGGGGCAGCGGTTGTGCCAAGGGAGAGGGGCTGCGAGGGTAGCGACGTGGAGGGGTCCATATGGGGCCACTTCTGTTGGGGGGAGGCAGAACTGGGACAAATGTAGCAGGGAGATCTTCTGATTGAATAACGTTACTAGAACGCTCCTCTAAGCACTCAAGAGGTTCCTACAATTGTTCACAAACACACATAAGCTCACTAGACAATGTCTAGTCTGACACTTCATAACAATTAAAAAGAACTGGTTTTAAAATGAACTTACATCTTCTGCTAGAACACACAAAGGCCTTGGACTCCTTCGCCCAAGTGTGCTTGGTTTAGGTATAACTTCCTATAGTCACACAGTATTTAGATAACACATATTTAGCTATCATTTGAAATGTTAAAAGAAACAAAACAAGTCACTTACATCTTCATTGAGAACATATAAAGGCATGGGACTCCTTCTACCAAGGGTGCTGGGCTTAGGCACTACATCAACTGAAAATGAAAACAAGTAATGCTTGATTTGAAATGCTTTCTTTCTTTTGATGAGCATTAATAACTCACCATCATGACCATTTTCACTCTGCTCCACATAGATAGGAGCTCTTTGGGGGACGGGTCGATGCTTCTTTCTGAAACACATAATTATACTCAGTTACACTCTTACAATTGCACTGTCAAATAACAGAAAAGTTTACAGAACCGATGATGTAGATGAGTGAACTACTTGAGATTCTATTCATATAGTCAGGCTCTACCTCACAGCAAACCAGAAAAAGGGTGAATAAGAATGGGGTACGGAGAGAATAGACTGGCTTTTACTTGGATGGCTTCCAGCAGGCGCACACTGTCACCAGGGTGATTAGGAGGAATATACCTCCTGTGGACAGAATGATGTATAGCGAGCTCCGTCCTACACCAGAGGGAAAAAGAGGAGAAAAAAGAAAGAAGGGAATAGAGAACAAGAAGAATTGTGTGTTAATAACAGGAGGCCTTCACAGCTCACACTGATTTTCTTGTTCACAAATCACTTTGCATAAGTTAACTTTCACAAGTCTTAATGGAACACTATTGTAGCTCCTTAACAAATCTTTGAAGTGTGTTAGCTCCAACATGACTTTGTAAATGAAACTGAAAGTTTGAATGGCTGTTTTTGTTCTCTGACACAATACAGGATTAATGAATTGAGGATGACTTGGTTCTACTAAGGGCAGCTTTCACCTTTTTCAGTTTGCACTCTCTTTAATAGTGGATGCACATTTTGTCTGTGATATGTGGCTCAACTCCTGCCTAGTAACAACAACTTTGAGCTTGCATGGTTGCACTCAAGTCAGGTGTAAATGTAAATGACTGTGGTTTGATGATTGTGTTGCTTTCACTTACTATAGACTGTAAGCCTGACTGGAGGGCTCTTCATACTGCTGATGAGGTTCTCCACTGTACAGGTGTAGATGTCATCATCTGACATGAGGACACGAGAGATGGTCAACACCTTCTGGTCATGTGACAGCATCAGTCGTGAGTCATTGGCCAGTACTTTGCCTCCTTTGACCCAGCTGTAGATGGGCTTTGTGCCATTATCGTGAGAACAATGAAGGTTAAAGTGCTCGCTGTACTCCAACACAGAGGAAGCCATCATCTGGATATAAGGTCTGGACACTGGAACTGATGACACAGGCAGGCAGGAGTAAAAACATTTAACATTCAGTATTTTTTTTCTTATATTACAATAGCAATAATGAATAAAAACATACTGATGTAAAATCATACGCCTATTTTGTTTGTTTTACTATCTAAGTTTTATGGCAGAGGCTTAATAGAGTGTTAGCACTATACCATTAAAGCATAAATTGTAGGTGATGTTTCTGGATGTTGTATAAGCATAATAATCATAGGTTTATTCCTGAATATATTGTTAAATGACTCATTCCTGAATAGTTTCCTAAAGTAAATGACATTACTTGAACTATGGAGCAGTCATTGCGCTGACGGCCCCCCACTCCCCCTCAGTGTTTGATTACTCAGAGAGCATAAACGCAGCAGTACCGTCAACAGTGAGCTCAATGAAGTGCTCCCCAGTGAAGGTGTCATCTGTGATGGAGATCTCCACTTCGTAGCTGCCTTCGTCAGACAGCTGCAGGTTATGGAGCAGTAGAGAGCCATTCTCATACACCAGGATGCGGTCTCTGTACTCTGGCCTCAGGTTTCCAATGATGTCAGTGCCAATAGACTGGACAACTGTGATGGGCTTCTCCTTGTCTCTTTTTAGCTGCCACTTAATGACAGGTCTGTCTGTGCTGCTGCTGGAATAACTGACTGACAGCAGGGCTTCTCTGCCCACTGTGCCTCTCACTACCTGAGACTGGCTAGTCACATTCACACTGGACACCTCGCCTGCAAACACAGCAAAGGAACAAGCAAATGTACAAGCTGGTTCAGGAAACATTAGGGTTGGATACTTTATACAATGACTAGACATCTGATATTCAGTAAAAAAATAATAAAATAATAATAATAATATATATATATATATATATATATATATATATATATATATATATATATATATATATATATATATATATATAGCCTGGAAAGTAAAGGCATCAGTGGTGCCTGTGGTGATCGGAGCACTCGGGGCTGTAACCCCCAAACTGGAAGAGTGGCTTCAACAGATACCAGGAAAAACAATGGACATCTCAGTCTAGAAAAGTGCAGTACTGGGAACAGCAAAGATACTGCGCAGAACTCTCAAGCTCCCAGGCCTCTGGTAGAGGACAGGATACATGCATTACTTTAACAAAATACAAATATACCCTGACATAAATAGTGGAAAGAGTGTGACTTACGTTCATAGTTGTTTATTTATACACTTTTATTTAGTTGCAGCAGCATGAGCCTACAAATCTAACAGTTTAATTTTGCCAAACTATCTCATCTGCAGCAATGTTTCTCAAATTAGAGTGACGTGTTGTTTGCCCTAGTGTGATTTGTGGTCCCTCACCTCCTACAGTTTGCCTATTGGTAAAGTGATGACTTGGCCACATGTCATTCTTTTTACAGACCTTGTCTTGGAAACCAAACTCAGCAAAGCTATTATGTTCACAGAGGCATTCCTATAAATCAGTGTGGCTGGACACATGGAGGCCAAAACACTGGGCCTGAGTGGGGATCCTACTGTTAGCAGGAATGTGGTAGAAAGAACAACATAGGACGGAGGGAGAGGGAGAGACTCTGCTCACTATTCTCTGCAGAGAGGCAGTTTTGCATGGCATCGCCTCGTCACTATAGCAACCATTTGGTCCGCCTGACCAGGGTTGCCAAGGCAATGAGACAAAGGGCATGATTGTTGGAGCTACTTTCCTCTGCTGAAAAGAGGGAGAGAGAGTGTGTGAGAGAAAACGTCTTTGTCACTGGTGAAGTTGGGGATAGACACAGAACCCAGTGATTCCACAAAAAACAGCCCCCAACTGTTTTAATACAAATCACACTTGTGAAACTAAAACATTTGCTTTAATCTATATTTTCTATAACTTCTTCCCATTGCATTTCCTCCTTCTTTGTCTGATCACTGTAATCCCATTGTCACATTTTTTTTAAAGGTACACTATGCACCCCAAACTCAAATTAACTAGTTGGATAGTCTCATTGTGATACAGTGCTCTCCCCTATGTTACTACTTAAGGGAACATAATGCAAAGAAAAATACTCAAATCTCTGAAGTTACTAACAATAAATATTTAGCTTTTAACTTCCATAGTATGCAAAAGCCATGACAAAACTAGATAAATAGTTACTGCATTATTGTTTGAATAGAGCTGGACTCAGATTATGCTTACTGCATTCTTACCTGACAGGAGAAGCAGAAGCAGGCCCAGCAATGTCAGAAAAGCAGGTATATCCGTGTAAGTTTCTGTGGATGTTGAGGTGGTCTTCCTCTCCACCTTCATCTTGTGTCCCGGGCAGAGTCCCTTCCCCTCTTAGTGAACATGGTTTATCCACCCCGGGCACGTTCCTCCAGCCACTGCCTGCTCTGGCCTCTGCTTAGCCACACTGAGCCCCACTCTACAGCTCACTCACCAGCACCCCAGTCGCAACCATAGTCACAACAGCCAACTGTGTGTGCACTGTGTGTGGACCCCTGTCAGACTGATGTTTACCACAATGTTGCCCTAAAACTACTACTTTAGTTTATCTTTTTTTAATCAAAACTGAAATGGATGATCTTATAATTCACTTCACTGCTTTAAAAGGTTTGTGACAATCAACTTATTCATTAGTTTATCTACTAATTTTCAACATATTTTAAGTGCCTTAAAATGAACTCACATCTATTATGTGTTCCACATACCTTTACAGCTTCATTATTCATGCTCCAATAACTGTAAAGAAAACATACTGCTGGGCTACATGTGGTGTCATTACAAAGATGTCCCATAGGTGGCATAGAAGCCTTGGTATTACAAGTATATAGCTGTTTCAGAGAACTCTAAAAGCCAAGTAGATTTCAGGTTAATTACATAATTGTTGTCATTTCCTGTTATCATAAATACCATGTGATCCCAGAGTGTGTTCTAAGTGAGGTTACATTGCTTTACATGACCACTAAAAAAAGCTAATTAGAATACTCAGATAATATAATATTTAGTTCTGAATAGTGGTGTGGTTTACATGCAAAAAATAAATCTGATAATCAAAACCCTCTGGTTACTGTTAATCAATAGCTCTTCAGAATAGCTGTTGTATTTTGCAGTACAATAAAGTGTAAAATAACTTTCCATCTTTAACATTATGTATATTTTTTCATTTTTGTTTTCTGCCACATTACGTAATATTTCAGTAATCTGATCATTCCAAAAGATAATGATCAGATTTGTGGATGGCATGTAAACATAGCGCTGTGACAATAAGATTAAGTAGCTCTGGGTCTTCTTTCTGTCTCAAAGGCTATTGCCAAAGTATAGTTATTGACAAGTAGGCCTTACTTTGTTTTGAACGTTGAAGCAGCTCTGTTTTGACCAGTGAGTCTTAATGTGTCATCCCGCCCACTTTGATAAATCAGTCTTTTGTTTTGGTATTTATTATAAGCATTTTTTCATGATTACAAAGAAAGCATTTCAGTGCAGAGGCGGGAAACAGTGAACCTTAACAAAAAGACTAGGAGCAGCTGCTGTCTGTCAATGCACCCTCCTCTGAGTCAGACATCTGTGGAGCTGACCATCAAAGTTGCGCCCTCTCACCTCTGACCTGGGTAAAAGCACTGGCACCCTCTCCCTCTCATCTCCCAGGACTCTCTAAATCAAGGGGACACTTTTCAGTCAATAGAAGATGAAAGTGGGAGCAGAGAGGGGCCCTGTGATATGACTCACCCAGAAAACACGACCTTGTGGGAAATGTATCATATCAACGTATTTGCAGAGAAATTATGAAACCTAATGAGATCTTTAGTCATTATCACTTTGTAATGTTGGCTAACTTCTCATCCAAGCTGTGCAAAAATAGCTTCAAGGTAGATAATTGTGCCCCCTGCTGTTCTGTCCAGTTTATTCAAGTATAATTATCACCCAAGGGAGGACAGTCATATTTCTTCATGCTGATTAACTGTCTGAGAAACCAGTTAAACTGATCAAGCACACTGCCCCCACAGTCCATTAAATAAAGGACAAGAGTTTTTTTTTGTTTAGGGTTATCTTTGCCCTGAAGCTTCTAAATTGTATTTGCAGCTCCAGGCTGGTGCGTGCTATGTTTGGAGGTGTGCAGTTATTGATTGTTCACCCACTATTATCAAAGAGACAGGAGTTTGTGGCCGTGGCCCTTCTGGGACTGAGTAGGAGAAAAGAGAATCTAAAAAACTCACGGGGGATGTTGAGGAGGAGGAATGTCAGCTCAGAGAAGAGAAGAAGCAGCGCTGTGGTGCTGTGTGCAAAAACCACAGTGGCTCCTATCAGTGCAGCTGGCAGTGTGCGTCTGCAGGGAGGTGGGCATGTGCGTGCGTGTTTGTGTGTGTGACAGCAAGCTTCTAGAGAGAGAGCAGCACACATTTGAGAGCAGTTTCCTCTGTGAATCTGAAGGCATGTGCACTGTCTGAGTGAGTGCACAGTGCGCGGTGCATGGCTCAGATGTGTGTGGGTGGGCTGAGTGGGAGCACTGGAAGACTGAAGATGCTCGAGCCATGAAACAAGCAAGACTGGCTCAGCAAATGAAGAGAAGGCAATTTTGGCAGTCATATTCAGTAGTACACTAAACTATGACTTTACAAGACTAGATAGATTAACACAATCAAGTCTGGCATATTTCTTGAATGCAAAATAATGATGGTACTAATGGTTTGCAAAAGTAAAATATTAACTAAAACAATTTGAATCACAGTTTATTTAATTATAAAAACAACAACAACAACGAATGTTACTTTCACCAAGCTTGGCTGTTGTAATGTAATTTTTCATTGTGTAACTTAATGTTGCCCTTATTTAAGTGGTTAACTTTGAGATCTGTGAACACAAATTACATTTTCAGACACTGAGCACAGTTAAAGAGGCAATTCATATTTGAGGTGTATTTATTATAGTGTAATGCCATGACTCTACAGCCAACTTCAACAAGGTATAATTCATTTCACTTTGCAAGCTTTGCAAACTTTAGCAATGCAACTGATACACCTGATTTAACATAAATCAAACAAGGCAAACCCATCAACACAACATTAGCAGGGTAAATATAACCTATGTCTAGTAGAAATGAACGGTATGAAATGTTACTGGGACTGAAATTATGGCATGCTTACTGCTCTGGAAGATCTGATTTATAGAAAAATGCCTGAAGAGAATTGATGAAAAGGTAATCAAGCCATAGACTCTAAAAACTTAGATTAAACAGAACATAGTTATTATATATAGATTGTTGAGTAAGCAGGTCAAATAGCCATATGACAGGTCTAAATACAAGCAGCAGTGCAGAAAACAAAGCAAGGGAACAAACTAATAAAAAGGAACAAACTAATAAAAGCCACAAATTACAATTGTTCAATGTTGATGCACAAAAGGTCTACACACAGATGGTCTGATCCATCCAAAATAAGCCCTGTTTAGCATTTAGAGGACATTCATTTTCACATTCACAGATCAGCTAAAAACTAGCACACTACCAGAAGTTTCACAAGTACATGCAGTGAGTTGTGAATTCTGGGTCAAAGACATCCCTACTGATAAGAGTGTTGGAGAAGCAGAGGAGTGTTAAAGTTCACAAAATTCACCCTCGAAAACTGTTCATTTTCTACAGCTAAATTGTGTTGAAAACAAATGACTCCTTGGGACGGGGGGTATAAAGGTATGTGTCTGAAAGCCAGCCCAGCAGGCTTACGTCATCATCATCTCGCTCTACCTTGCTTTCTCTCTCTTCTTCATCCAGGTCGGTACTGGGGGGTCACTGCTCTGGAACAGATGTGACGTTGCCTCCTACTGGCCTCGATCTTCCTGTCTCTAAAAGCAGAAAGTCACAGTGAGCCTGTGACGTGTTCTCACCTGTATAATCTAACCACTCTAACTACATATGGGTGATTAAGTACAAGGGCCTGTCATCTTGTATCAGATCGCATATGTTGTAAAAATAGTTAAAGAGACATCACCTCATCTCTGTTATGTGTTATTATTTGAAAAAGGGGGTCTGCCCCAATGGGAGGTGCTTGAGATGTTCGGTTCCCATCCGACAGCTCCATTAATTCTGCCTGGCCTCTTTGAGGCATATACTGTTCCTGATGCACCTGGAGTTATAAATACCTCTCCTACATAGGAACTGCAAGTGGGTTAGGGAAAAATTCTGCCCACATCCCCAAAACTAAACCTACCTTTTTTCTTGCAAAATGCTACATTCTCTAATAGTGCAGTGACTTGTGTAGATTTTTAAAATACGGCACAGATGTTCTCTTTCAATGTAAATTTTTAAGAAAGAGATTTTCCCATACCTCCATAATGATATTTTGTCATGTCTAACAGAGTTTATAACTCTACATTGTGGTGGCAAAATTAGAAAATGAGAAATGAGAAAACATAAACATTTTAAATCAGGCCTTTGTGCAAAAAAATCATCAAAAACATGTAGAATATATATAAAAAAAACCTTAACATGCACAGTGATTGCACTAATCTGCTACACTACACACTTACCATTACCACCTGTAACAACTGCCCACCTTAATTTTAATGACAGTACTCTTGAATCCCTTAAACAGAAGAATTAATTGAAAAATGGAAGCGCGTGTTGTTCGTAGGTCTCTGGGGTAATTAAATGAGTCACTCGGTTATGCATTACATTAATCACTCGTAATATTTTATGAGATGCTCTGATACATGTATTTAAGTGTGAACAAATTAACTAATTGAATGAAGCCTTATTTTGATAGGGTTATATTGCATGGTCGTTTTCTCACCCTTAGAAGAATATAAAAAGTCTTCTCTACTCATTACATTATGCACTTACTTGAATTATGGCAGTAGTCACCATACTGTTACCATCCTTACAGTCTCCATTCATGATCTTATCCCTGTATCTTGGCTCTATACCACTGACCTGTGTCCCCTGGCTGCTGTTGAGCACATCCACAGAACTGCTCACCTCCTCCCCCTCTGTTTTGTCCTCAGGCTTCATCTTCTTGCGGGTCATGTGACCACGGAAACCCGCCTGGATCTTAGCAGCTGCCCTGTTGGCCTCGGGGTCATCTAACGGGATGTCCATAATGTCCTCCTCCTCCTGGGGCCGGCTGCACTCCTCCTGCTGCAAGTGCAAAAAGCAAAAACATCAACAGATGCTACATGTCAAAGGTCAATATACCTCAAATGTAATATGGTAAATTCAAAAGTTTAAAATTCATCTGCAAGCAATTCATTCAATACAGTATTTTTTTCTCTTTGCAGAGAAAAATATCTATATTTATTTACTTACCTTCCTTGATGATAAAAAATAACTGTAAACTATAAATTACTTAATTTAGAAAACCAATGTATAGCAACAATTGCCCTAAAAGAAACAGAGAGGTTGGAAAAGAAATCCATGCATACCATAAAATGGAAGAGTGGCATTATTTATCAGCTATTCAGGTGCTTAACAAATAATTAATATACAAGCCAGCTCACAGAAAGCCCACAAAGGCAGCAAAACAGGTCTCCACTAAAGCCCCTCCAGTGCTGGAGTGTGCCCACCCACCTGCTCAGCAGCCATCGCCTGTCTGACTGCTCACACAACCACCCTTCTATAAGTTAGCATAACCACACACAGTACTGGAAGGATGCTTGAACTGGTCTAAAATCTTTGCAGATACAAATTGCTCAAACTATGGAGATAGGAACTAATGCTAATCTATTCCAAATACAACCACAAAAATAAGATAACATACTTACATTCTTCACAGTAGTAAACAAAGGACGTACACATTTCTATCTACAAACAAACAGCTCCCACAAAGTTTATCTGAGGCTGTACTTACATTGTGACAGTCCATGGCTTACTTGAGAGATGACTTCAGATTGCAGAAGAGCTCACCTTGAATGGCCAGTCTGCCTTTAAGACTATTCTAGACCTCAGTGTTCTTACTGTATAATGCAGATGCCAACAGTCTCTTACTAACAATCACTGTATGTTCAGTAACAGCCGCTCACGCACAAAGTGAGAGGGAGAGAGCTGGAGAGAAAGTGAGAGAGAGACATAGAGGAGGAGAGGAGAGAGAGGGTGGGACCTCCTACAAACATGACAGCATGTGTTCCATCTTTACAGCCTCATTAGGGTTACTGGCCTGCTGTGATCATGTTAGTGTAACTGACCTTTACCATATCATATTATAAACATGACTCTGAGTGTATAGGAAAGACCGTGGATGGATCTGAGGGAAATCAGTAGAGAGCACTGGGTACAACACTACAAATTTAACAGGTTTCAGTACTAAAAAATAGATGATGTACACAGAAATACTATGCAAGACATATGGTCATGAAACAATCGCAGACTTTCAAATTCCACTATAGCGTGAAGATAAACCTGTGTTAGAATCTTGGCATGTTTTACACGGAAGGTGTTAAAAATGTATTAGAAGCAGAGTGAGCTATCAGCGCTCTCCATCCCTCAGATCCCAGCTGGTACTGCCGCCCACACGCCTCCGCCAGCTTCACAGACAAGACACACAGGGAGAGAGAGAGAGGGACATGCAAACATCCATTTTTCTGAGTTATATCTCTGACATTAACACCCTTCTAATGGTTTTATCAGCCATCCAAATGATGCACTTAAAAATGGTTAGTATCTTGGAATTTTTTAACCAAGTTTTAACAATTTAAAAAGCACTTGCCCACAGCATCTAAATTAACGAATTAATTAGATACCTATTGCAAAACATTTTTTTCATCCATGGTTGTATTGTAGTGGTAATTTTGGGGAATGTGTGCAACATAACAGTATACTCAAGCTCAGTGTATACATCTGGTAGGCTGCTCTAAAAATGTTGGTCTTTATCGTGCACTTTTGTGGAATTTTAGTTTCCACACATAAACAACACGAGTGGTGGGTGGAACCACAACATATTTTTAGTTTTGCAGTCACTCTCAAACAGCTTTAAAAGCAAGTACATTATGAACAAAGATGGTGCCTAGCAACTATCAGCATCACCGACTCCTATTAATTCCATGACGACACGAAGAGCGAGCAGGATGGTGAAGAGTTGCCATGGTAACATTGTTAATACTTCTTCCTACACTCCCTCCTCACATGTTTGGGTCCAGACAAATTGGGTCTAAGTTTAACACTTAAAATGTTTTTTGGCAAGCCTTTTGTGGTTGCTGTGAAATATAATAGTAAATTAATGTGCATTTTCAAAACTCTAAAACAATGGATGTTGTAGGGTCAAATATGTCAGCATGTGTGACAAAATTACTTTTAATATTGCTGGTTTGTTTATCTAACTACAAATGAACTGTACAAGTGATGTGCCAGAGTGTCTCATTTGCCTTTCTGTGATTGTTGCAGCTCTTTTCCCTGTCCCTGTCTGTTTTGTTTTTTTTTACTAATAAATCAAATAAGAAATAAGAAACAACAGTGAAAATCAAGCATGGGACATTTAAAAATGATGTCAATGCATATGTCAATCAGACGTTCTCATACAAATTTCATTTGGTATTTTTTCAACAACTTCATCAATGTGCATATGCAGTTGACACGGACTGAAAATTAAAAAAAGCACTTCAAACTACAGAGTGCACTAAAAATCATGGAAGACCTCAGATATATATTGTCCTTGAAGAATGTATTTATAACGCTACCTGACAGAAATGGGAGCATGGTTGTGGCCTAACTTGACACTTTCCCCCTAACTATGTGGACATCTAGCTAGCTCTTGTTGAAATATAAATATATACTTGACTTTCAGGGTATAATGGAGCCAAGGAGCATACAGTAGAAGGGAGAAAATCTTTCAACAATTCAAAATGTACCTTTTCATTTATCTGTCCTTCTGGGTCTGGGGTGTCCGACTGCTCTTCTTGTAGACCAGTGTCCTCTTTGTCTGTCCACTGTTTGAGATCTTGATTAACATTGTCCTGGTCACCTGAGGGATGGCCTTCTTTGACTTCAGAATCTGACAGATCTTCTTCTATAGGTTCCTTCTCCTCCTCCTCTTTCTTCTCTGCCTCCTCCTCTTCCTTTTCCTCCTTCCCCTCCTCCTCCTTCTCCTCCTTCTCTTCCTCCTCAGACTGCTGGTCTTGTGATACAGTGAAATATTTTTCAAAACTTGCTTCCTGATGTTGCTCCTCTTCATTGTCCTCTAACAAATCATCTTTCTGTAGAATTTCAGCCTGTTGCTCCAAGATTTTCACATTTGAATCAGTGAGTTGTGTTGAATCACTTGCAGCATCTTGGTCAACCAATTTACGGTGCTTTGTTTCTTGGTAGTCTGTTTCACCTTCATTTGTTTCTTCTACTCTTGTAGTTGTTTCAAACTTTTCAAAATTGTCCTTCAGACTTGAGTTTTCATCATTGTTTATATTATTTGTATCTTCATCAACCAGATGATCAGCTTTAGTAGTGGGCTGATGTACTATGTCTATGTCAATACTTTCTTCCATAGAATTATCATGATTTGAAGTATTTTCTTCATTGTAATCATTTTGTGTTTCTTCTTCCAATTGTTCTTTTTGTTCATTTTTTAGAGTTTGAGTCTTTTCCATGATTTCTACATTTATTCTCAGTTCATTATTCATACTTTGCTGGTTATCTGGAACATTGTCAAAACTAATTTCAACTAAAGATTTATTGTTGCTAATTTCTTCAACATCATCAGAGGTAGTACCAATTGCATCATTATTTGTCTGTTCTTGGTTCTGCTTGGTAATTTCCAGTTGTGAACCTGAGGACTGGAGCATGATTTCATTTGATTCAAATGCTACTTTTTGCTCTGCATCTTCCTCCATTACTGATGCAGCGTCTGTTGTTTCCACTAAATCTTTTGCACAAATATTTACATTTCCTAGTTTATCTTCTTGGTCTGTGTGCTCCTGATTCTCTTCACTTCCACCTTCTGACTCTTGTGCATCTATATTCACAGTCTCACTCAATAATTGTACCTTGTGGCTTTCTGACTCAGGGTTGTTTGAAGCTCTGCTGTTATTAATTTCATTTGATAATCCATCAGATTTTGTGGAGGCTATTGGGTCTGCACTTGCAACCAGAGGCCCTTTGGCTGACTCTGCTTGAGTTAGAGTGGGAGACGATTCTTCTTCTTCACTCTTGGTGAAGTGGTTGGTTTTCATTGTAGTCGTAGACGCATCTTCTTCTGACTGCCCAGAATAATCTTCAGCCACAGAGATCTGTGAGTTTATGCTAAAAAAAAGTGTGCAAAAATTAAATACTGCAGATCTCAAGCCCTGGCTTACTCTTTGTCTACACATATACACATAACTCTATGTGGGTTAATGTTTGCATACAATTAAAATCGCTGCAAATGTTCATAAATACTTTATTATGTCTATATTTAACTTCTTGTTGCTTTAACTTCTCTTCCCTGTTCTGTGATATGGGCCTGCTGCCAGTGCAGTGCAAAACTCACTTAGAGACAGTTGTCCTTGAGGCATGGTCTGAGGTCTGTTGAGACAAAATAGGTAATTATTCATTTTTTTATAAAATAAACAACTTAAAAAAAAGACAAACCTACCTTAAATGAATGAGGGTTGTAGTAGCGATCTTCTAATTTGGCAGCCCACTCAGAGGGGTCTGTGCCTGTTTCTGAAAACAGATATAAGATAAAGTTAATTCCTTTATTGTGTCCTATTTACACTAGCTTGTTAGCTTGCTTTAGGACTGCTAGCTTGTCTTACCTTCTCTGTTTTTAAGCAAAGCCTCAAAATATTCTGCAGCATATTTTGGAATATCTTTGGGCTGGTCTCGAAGAATTTCTCTTGTTAATCCTTCCAGTATAGCACCAAAACCTCGAGGAACCCTCAGGTGAGTGTTGGAGTTGAGCATTGCCATGCTGATTAGAATCAGCACGAGAGTGAAAAACGAAATAAAGACAAAAGTGAGAGCAATTTGTAATTTTTAGGATCGTAGACACAAATGTTAACTGTTGCAGTTTGGTTTCTATCCCTCTTGCATTTAGTTACCTACAATATTGTGTTCTTTCTGACAGATCGTAATGTTGTTATTAACCGTTACTAAGCAACAGCTCTATGTCTACGGAAAGTGACGAGGCCCAAAACGACTTAAAAACATAGGTGTTTAATTTGGATTATTTGATACATACACCGTGTCGATATAATACTCAACAACAATATGTAATGGGTAACATATATTCAATAATTTCAAGAAATAATCTGTTATTTTTACAGTTTATGTTTTATAGTACACAGCTTTCATACAATGCAATATTTTACGACTATACATTGAATTTTAAGCTTTTTTTCACGTATATGTAATAATAGCGTAGTCTGAGGTGGTGCTCATTTTCCTACACACGTCTCTAGGCTGAGGCACGTGCAGCATGTCAGCAGAGCGCGCGGCCTGCAGGTGAGTTCGAGGATGAACGCCCCACAACTGCAATGGAAACACATGTCCGTGTTATTTGTATTGCAGTTATTGAAATAATTGTATGGTACTTATCTTACCTCATTACGATCAGTAGAATTTAAGTAAAGAGCTTGTGAGATGTCTGGTGTACTTGCACCTCGTACGCTTATTACTATGTCAGCATATGGCACTTCAGGGTCGCCTTCAATTTCTGGGAAAACAAATAGTATTCTCTTTGCAATTCTTGATCTAAATCAACGCATTATCCTGCCTTATATAATACATGGCTAGAGAACATATAGACCTACCTGGAGTTGGAATTCTCAGTATGACTCTTTCACTTTGTTTTGACGTTGGGTCTGGAAATAATTTAATTAAGAAAGTAATGAGTGGTGATGATGATTCTGAATGTTGGCTCTTGGTCAAACTAAACCCTTACCCTTATTTAATGGCACAGTTCTACTGGACGCCTTAGGTGACCTATTGAAATAGTTGTTGTTATTAATGGTATTTAATTTCTTTAGTACATATAGGCATATTATAGAAGATATATGCATTGTAGGCCTATTGATTGTTTGGATTACATATACTCACTTGGACTTGGACATGTTAACTGAAGGCTGGTGTTCTATATTTTTGAAAGAAAAATATAATTTGTAATAAATAATGAATACAGACAATTAATGTGACATACAATATAATATAGTCACCTTTACCATTAGAACCATGTCTTCTTCGAGTGAGACACAGGTAGACTGCTAAAGTTGCTAGGATTAATGCTACTGTGATGGTGAGTGCTGCTAAAACTTTCATTCCGTCTTTCATCCCAGACTTATCTATCGTATCAACACAACAAAAGTTATTATAAGGCAAAATTGTACATTTTATTTTGTTGCTTTTTTGTTAAATTTCACATTTTGGCTTACCAGTTGGTCTTGAAGTGTTGGACTCAGACTGGAGAGAGACTATTTGGGCATAATACACAAATCAGATTGATGCACTAAAAAAAAAAAAAAAAGCATGTTTTCTGCACTTACCTTTTGTAGTTTCAGTTTTGTGTGTCACAGCATTGCTTGTCTGATCTGTAAACATGTGTATAAGTGATCTCTCAACTTACAGTATGCTTTTGTATGTGTTTTAAATAGAATCAATAAACACCTCTGAGTTTTAGCAGCACAACCCGCTCTGTCTTTTTCTGCAATTGTATGGCATCACTAATTTCAGTTTTACAAAAGTATTCTTTCAGATCTTTTCTGGAGACGTTTTGCAGTGAAAGAGACACAGTGCAAACTGTTTCTTTGTTTAGTTCCCCTGGCATGCATTCTTCCTTTTCAGTAATCCAACAAACACGAACAAACGGAGATGAACAGTTGTAAGTGCAATTCAATGTTACTGAGTGTCCTAACTCAACCAAAACTGTGTCCATCAACGTTTGGTTTTCACCGCTTACAAAATCTGCAAAAAGGAAGTATTTCAACTTTAAAAAGTTGTTTTTATATTACAATTATTACTATTGATATTATTAAATACTTAAATAATTAAATAACATAAACTTACCATGAGATGCACACAGGCACACAAATAGTGTAAATGCTAAGAAACTCATACTTCCTTTCTGTACAGCTAATTTTTAAAACAGTGAGTGACACTGATGCACAGGTGCAAGTCTTGAGCTTCACAGGATGTGGTAATGGTGCATCTTACATTTTCCATTTGTTGTAAAAAAAAAACAAAAAACAAAAAACAACTACTTAAATCTCCAAACCCAGCCTGAATTGAACCTTAAGTAATCTTCAGTAACTATTTACATTAATTATAATTTTACAATGGTCATAAAATATATATTTGTTTGTTTCGTACAGAACATTCACAGAATGAAGTGAAAGCACATTTTAATGCATAATGTAGGTTAGCGGTAGCACATATTCATGCATTATAAACATGCTAGATAGAATTACTGAAGATCATTGTCCACCATTATCAGTTGCAAAGTGCACTTGGGAATCTTGTTACATGCTCTTGTTTCACTTGCACCGACAGGGCCCATTCACCTTCAGACATTGAATCATTCTGGACTAGAATAATGTCTCAAAACTTTTATAAAATTTTGTATTTTGTTCTTCTTACATGTTGTGGCAGCACATCAGGTAAGAAACCTTCCATTCTTTCAAAACATATCACTTAAACTAACTGAAACTTTAACTAACTATGATTTCCTTTGCTTAGAATTGATAGAAGCAAGTGGAGATCATGCTGTGGATGAAGTTTTGTATCGATGCCCAGAAGGAACATATTTCTCTCACCAGATTTGTTTAGAATGGTCACTTGTAAGTCCACCTTGTTTCACAACAGGAATTAGCTATTAACAGTAAACCATTAATTTATGTTTTTAGCTGTCTGGGCGATGTCCATGCCCCACAAAGGTGTAGATTGGGCACATTCAACCTCTACACTGGGAAAAGTGAGAGCAAAGCCTGCAAAGTAAATACATTTACTGACAGAATAAACATTTACTTCTTAATCTTAATCTTAAAAGTGTTGTTTGCTGTAGCCTTGTTTTCCAGGTCTGATTAGCTCAGAAGACCGAGTGGATTGTAGGCTGTGCCCCTCTGGGTTCTCTTGTGATGCTGGCAGTGGGACATTGTCCCTGTGTCCCCCCGGTCAACACTCCCCGGAGGGTGTACTAGACTGTCTGTCCTGTCCTGTTGATTCTGTTTGTATCTCAGGATTTCCTTTCAAGGTAATGTCTGAACTTCAGCAGTTTTTTTCCTGTACAATCTGTTATATCAGGGACATCATTACATCCTAAGACACTTCACTCTCACTCCTCTATTGGTTTGGTGTGACAGTATGAATGCTCCAAGTAAAAACCTGCCAAATCCCCATACAACTGTTTTTATGAGCTAACCAAAAGAAAAAGAAAGCCTTTGATATATATTTTTTCAGTCATTAAAATAGGTTAATGTTTGTTGTCCTGTACTACAGTGTAACCCTGGATCAGTGCCTAACTTAAATCACACACAGTGTAATGAGTGTCCACCAGGCTTCTACTCCTCACTGTGCACTATCAAGTGTATCCAGTGTCCAGCAGGTATAGTATAATTCTTATTTGAAATGATAAATAACATTCATAATTCTGTGTCTGTCATGCAGAATCACATTTGTGTTTTGTAGGAAATTATTGTCCTGTGGGAGGAATGTCTCAGCCTCTTGCCTGTGCTCCAGGCTGGTCTTCGACCCCAGGTCAAATAAAATGCCATATGTGTAATGACTCCTCTCCAATGTGTAGGGGACCAATAGTTTCCCGTTGGAGCCACACTGCCCTCAGATCCAGCTTTCGCACCACCTGTAGACCAGGAACATTCAAGGATGCACAAGAGGAGTCAGACTGTGTTTTGTGTCCAAAGGGTATTTATACTGTTCAGCCAATGTCTCATCATGTACTATGGGGAGTACTAGAAGGGACATTCACAGTCTACACACAGTCTAATGTGCACCTCTACTTTCAGGTTTGTATTGTGTGGAAGGTGTGGCTCTGCCCTGTCCTGCAGGCACGTATGGTGCTAAAGAAGGGCTTCAAAGACTCAAGGACTGTACAGTGTGTCCAGCAGGTTCAGTATACCAAGCTTTGAGACAGTATATAGACAGTATATAGTATAGGATAAAAATGAAAATTGCATAGATCCGAGTGGTTTAGTCTAATTGTTCACTGTCTAAGCATGCCTTAGGCATTAGTTGTTTCAGTTTTGCATGATGCCAGTGCTCACATAATAAAGTAACTGCTACAGCTCATTTTTACCACAACTGTAAACAAATGCTGTGGGTTTTGGAGGGAGGGACTAGCCCCCTGTAAAACAGTATAATAAATGGCCCTTAGACAGTAAATATTCACTTTTTTCAGTTGGTGTGACTGTGGTACACCTTGGATCGGTGCACTATATTCAGTTTTAACTGCACTCTGGTGTGCCCACTGATGTCCAATGACTATCCGTCATGTGTTAAAACACAACTACAACTCATCTTATATATGTTCTTCTCTGGTCTTTATGACATCTAAAAATACTTTTCTCCAGGGTTTTACTGTCTAGAGGGCAGCTCACAGAGACCCACCTCCCAATTCCTGTGCCCACAAGGCTATTATTGTGAAGAGGGCACAGCCACCCCACAAGGGTCACCTTGCCCGGCTGGTACAGCAGGCGAACAACTGGGACAAACAAGTAGGGCAGCTTGTAAAAGATGCAGAGAAGGACGCTTCTGTCCTACTGGTAAGTATAAGTAGATGTACAGTAAGTGACAATGTATTCAAACAATTGTTGTAGTATACTTGTATTTTAAATATATTTATTATAAGTACAATGAATATCAGTTACATTGAAATGGTTTCCTGTGTGTGACAGGCTCTTCAGTTCCTGGATTGCCCTGTGCCCGAGGAAGATACTGCCCAGCTGGCACTCTGGAGGAGGTTATTTGTCCTGGTGGAACATTTACCCCTCATCAAGGAGCAATCAGTGAGGAACTTAACTCAGTGCTACACAGTAGTTCTTACAGAGAAAAAAACTTTAGGGAGGCAACTGCAAGGTCTTCAAAAAATACATGTTGAGATGTAAAATAACATTTAAAAATCCCCTATGTACAGGTGTTGAAAACTGAACTTGTGCTATAAACACTTAAAACTATACATCTGGTCTAATCCAGTGTACTTGCTATGTCCATGTTACAAAATAAATAATTTGGAATGCTCTCACAACTTTCCTATAGGTGTAAAAGACTGTCTCAAATGCCCTGCTGGTTTTTACTGTCCTGCGGGTACAAGCGACCCTGTTCCATGCCCATCAGGTACTTTTAACCCCTTAGACGGCCAGGATGAGCTGACGGACTGTAGGGACTGCTATGCTGGAAAAGCCTGTACACAAGTAGCTCTGAAAGCCCCTGATGTGGATTGCATGCAAGGGTAAATTAATCGCATTTATACCCACTATATTTTAGTGTACTTTATGTTACTGTAACTTTGTTATTAAAAAAAGATATATGGCCCCTTTTTCTTGCAGATATGTGTGTCCCCCTGGTTCCTCTAAACCAAACTCTCAGACTAATGCCTGTCCTCCAGGAACTCTGAGCAACCGCACTGACCTGACCGATCGCTCTCAGTGTCAGCGCTGCCCAGCCAGATATGCATGTCTCCGAGGTACACTGCTTTCTCAAAAAATAAGATATAATGTATATACTTCTATCTATACATTTTGTGATATTTTTAGAATTGATTGCTTAATTCCTTTAACAATCACTATATTATATTTCTTTCTTTTTCTGCAATCTATAATTTCACATCCTATTCTGCTGTTATGGCAGGCACCGGTGGTATCCAGAGACCCCCACTCTCATGCTTTGCGGGACATTACTGTCCCCCAGGGACTATGTTCCCCACACAGTATAAGTGTCCTGTGGGGACATTTAGTGGACAGAGTGGACTAGAGTATGAGAGCGAGTGTCGGCCATGCCCACAGGGATGGTACTGCCTGGCTGGATCTGCAGCTCCAACAGGCAGATGCAGCTCTGGATATTACTGTCCTGAGGGTATGCATATGTGTGATAAGAAACTTTTTTTCTCTCTCTTTCATGCAATGTATTAACTCTTAGTTGTGTAATAATAACAGTTTATAGGTCCACCATTTCATTGCAGAAAGGTTTCTTAGTTCAGTCGTTTTAATACAGCTTAGAAATTTGACTATTTGTGTAACCCCAGGGACTGCATATGGTACTCAGTTTCCATGCCCAGCTGGGACCTACAGCATTCAAATGGGCAATAGACACAGAGGTGACTGCCTGATCTGTCCTGAAGGCTTTTTCTGTCCAGAAGGCACCTCCAAACCATCTCCCTGCCCACGGTGAGGAGAAATTGAATGGAAAGAATAGAAAGCACCTTTTGGAGCCCTTAGTTTCAAATGTGTGTATCGTGAATAATTTGTCATATATCTCTCTAGAGCTACATTTCGTCCTCATAAAGGAGGTCAAAAACTGGATGACTGCTTGGTCTGTCCTGCTGGCTATTTTTGTCCTCACTCTGCTACTGTCAACCCCAGAGTGTGTGGAGTTGGCAGCTACTCCGTAAGTGTACAGTCCCTCCATCTCACCATCATTTTTGTTCATATTATCTAAAACTATTCTAAAGTCGCTAAAGGTCCATGTGTTGCAAAGGCAGGACACATGAGTAGTCACAAGTGCATGTGGTTTAACACTGATAATTAGCTTGAGAGCCAAAAGAATCATCCAAAAATAAACATGAAATCAATGAGCATATCACTTGGGCCTGTTTTCTCTGTCTTTCCTCCATATTCTCTACATCTTACACTTCTCATTCTCTGAGTCTTGTATGCTTTTTGTTTGTGCAGGATGAGGGCTCTGTGGGGTGCTCGGCTTGCCTACAAGGCCACTACTGCAGTAACGAGACAACTAGTGAGGAAGCCATGTTGAAAGTCATGGTTTGTCCGCCAGGTTTCCTCTGCTCTCAAGGTTTGACCAGAGACCCTCAGCGTTCAGCCACTCTGTGTCCTCGAGGTTTCTATTGCCCTGGAGGAGGGATTGTTAGTCAAACTCTACAAATGATGTACACCTGGGAAGAAAAAAAAAGTCAACATGTAATA